TTTTTCTTATATGATGGATTTTTTTTTTTTGTATATTATGTAAATGATACAACGGGGGTGGGGCTGGGGATGGGGCTGGGGCTGGATAAAACTTTTGTTTTCTGCCTGCTCCTATCATATCTCAACTCAAACAGAATATATTGTAAATAATTTATTATTAATATGATGAAAGTATATATATATATATATAAAAAAAAAATTTATTAGAGCCTTTTTTTGCTTGCTTTCCTTATTTTTAATTTTTTTTTCTTCAATTTATTTTAAATTCTTTCTGTTTTATTTATAGTCTTTTTTTTTTTGTATTTGTTTGTTTGTTGTTTTTTTTAATTGTTTTTTTTGGTGTTACTCCATTGATGAGTTTTTAACTATATGAGTGACACCTAACTTTATTTATGTAACTTTATATATTATTGTAAATTTTTTACTTGAGGAAATTGATCTTACTCAACATTATCATCAGATCCAAGACTTAACTCTTGACAAAGCGGTAACCGAGTAATAGAAGCATTAAGATTTTCTCTGCAGAGAAAGCGCCGTCACTTAGTGACACATGCAATTGGTTGCAAAGCTAAAACAACTGAAGCCGAAATGATGATCCTCGGGCATAACTAAGTGCTCCTGGAAAGACTCTTTTGGTGGTATGCAACACGTAACATACTTGTTTTTTATCTGAAAAATTTTCAGATAAAAAACAAGTATGTTTTTTATCTGAAAATTTTTCAGATAAAAAAAAAATCCAAATCATAACAGACAATGTAGACGAGGCAATCGTTATGCATGGCAAAAAGATTATTTTACGAAGTTTTTCATTTTTTCACGCCGCGATTGGACTTATCGGAATACACTATGTAATAAACATGGATTATGACGCCCATGTCATGACGATATACTCAATTTACATTATATTTTACACTTACATTGTATTTTATTTAAAGATAAAAGCTCAACAGAAACTTGTTTGGGTCAGATGAGTAGCCTATGGGAGGAGTATTGCCGCTACAAACATTACCAATAACTGGACATTCCAAAGAACAACAAGTTTTATTTCAATGATGAGAGTTGTTTATATAAATACTTTTTGAATATTCTTATTTTAAATCATCCTAATTTCGTAATGTTTCATTTTTTCTATGAAAAAAACATTCTTGTAATATTGTTTTACAGTTCAAGGAAAATATTATTGAAACAAGAAAATAGAATATTAAGCAAAAATAACCTTGAAATGAAATAAAAAAAACTCTTATTAATAAAAAAAAAAATCTTAAAACAAGAAAAAAAAAATCTTTATTTGAGCAAAAATATTGTTGAAATAAAAAAAATTCTTATTTTAAGAATAAAAATTCTTGAAACAAGAAAAAAAAATTATTGTTTTAAGAATAAAAATTCTTGAAACAAGAAAAAAAAAATATTAAAAAAAAAATCCTTAAAACAAGAAAAAAAATTCTTATTTTAAGAATAAAAATTCTTGAAACAAGAAAAAAAGTTTATTTCTTTGTTTCAAGAAAATGACAAGTCTTTTTTTTTCTTGTTTCAAGACTTTTTTGCTTAAAACAAGAATCGTGGATTTTGCTGTGTAATGAAAAGACCAAATATTTATTACGAATTATTTAATATCAACAAAAGCACAACAGAAACAAACAAAATTAAAAAGTTAAAAAAATGTAGTAAAAAAAGTTAAAGACATGTAGTAAAAGAGTTAAAATAACTTTTTGATTCAAACCATTAAATTATTTTCAAAACATGTACTTGAAATCTAATATATCGAAGTCTATGTTTAGTAAATGCCGTTTTGAATCAGCCTTAAATCTTTCCATTGTGCAGCTTAAGACGAATTCTAGTTTATCGTTAAAAATGCGAAGAAAATTTCCAAACACAAGGTTCGCGATATTGAATTCGGTATGAACTTATTTTAAGATGGGTAATGGGAATAACAAAGTTATTTTCTAAAAATTTAGTAAGATATTTATGGGAAACTTCATTAAAGTAAGATTGAAATGTTACTGGTGATAAACCACGCTTTGCTTTAAACATAAATAGCATCACTTGATGAATCTTAAGTTTATATATATTTAAAGCTCCAAGTTCATGCATGAGAGACTCGCAATATGCATTTCTGTTTACCTCAAATATCAAGCATATTTTTGTTTACTATAAATTTTTTTTGTGTGATTTGTACTACCCCAGGCAATGTTACAGTATGAAAGATAACTGTGTATAAACGAAAAACATAATTTTTTTAATGATGCATTTTTAAGAAAATGTTTTGTTTTATATAACATGGAAATACTTTTTGATATCTTACTTTCAATATATTTGATATGAAATTTCTATGACAATTTTTCATCTAAAATCACTCCTAGAAAGTTTGTTGTCGATTCCCTTTTAATTATTATGTTATTGATTAAAAAATTAGGTAATTTAACAGGAATATTATCGGATTTACTAGGTTTATGGAATAAGATAAATTTAGTTTTTCTCTACATGAAAGTCGGTTACTAATAAACCATTCGTTTATCTTATCTAGTTCTTCATTAAATATTGTAGAAAGAATATTAATATCTTTGTGAGAATAAAATAAATTAAAGTTATCTGCAAATAATATAGTATTTAACTTTTTTGATTATAAATGTAAGTCATTTATATAAATTAAAAATAGTAATGGTCCTAAAATAGAACCTTGAGGTACCCACACAAGTTATTAAGTTTTTTTTTTTTATCTTTTGATTCTTTCGGTATGAATTGCTTCCAGTTAGTTAAGTATGATTAAAACCAAAGTAAACTTTGGTTTTTAACATCGTAGTGTTAGTTTTTTTAATAGTATTTCATGGTCTACTGTGTTGAAAGCTTTGGAAAAATCATTAAAAAACCCTAAAGTATAGCAATCACTATCAAATCCATTAGATATGTGCTTAACTAATTCTATTATTGCATGGTCAGTAGAATGGTTCTTTTTAAACCCGTACTGTATAACATCTTGTTTTCAGTTAGATGTTTATAAAGTCGATTATACATAATGCGTTCAATTCGTTTAGACTGAATTAGGCCTGTAATTTGAAATATTAGTCTCGTTACCAGATTTAAAAATAGGCGTTATTTTTGCAATTTTTAATTTTTCTGGAATATGACCTGATTTAATTGAGAGATTAAAAATATGGAATAATCAAGGTTCAATAATATCAAAAAAAGATTTAATTAAATTAACTCTAATTTAATCAATACCAGCGCTTTTATTTTTTTTTCATACTATCTAAACCATCATGTAATTAATTTTTACTTAAATTAGGTTGGTCCATAATTATATCAGTCGATGTAAGATATGAATAATATCTTTTTTGACCAAACGGAATTTTTGCTGCTAAGTTTGGACCAACATCAATAAAATATTTATTTAGTTCCTCAATAATAATTTCTTTGTTATAAATAAGTTTTCCATCGACAAAAAGTTTTTGTGGTAGTTGTTTTCTGGGATTTTTTTTTTCCCAATTAATTCCTTAATGATGCTTAACGTTTTTTGAGTATTTCCGGTTTTTTTTATGGCATGCATCATATCGAAAAAAAATGGCATGCATCATATTAAAAAAAATACTATGACATGCGTTATATCGAAATGGCACTCTGGCATGCATCATATGGCACTATGGCATGCATCTATGGCACTATGGTATGCATCTATGGCATGCATCATGCATCTATAGCATACACCATGCATCTATAGCATACATCATGCATCTATGGCATGCATCATACATTTATGGCATGCATCATGTATGCATCTATGGCACCTATGGTATCTATGACATCAATGGCATGCATCTATAGCATGCATCATGCATCTATGGTATGCATCTTGTACTATGGTATGCATCATGGCACTATGGCATGCATCATATCGAGAAAAAAAATTTGATGGTAGAAATTAGGTTAGCTTAATTCAGTTTTTAAAACAATTGATTCAGTTAAATCACCAGGTAATCAAGAGGGTTTAATAAATGAATCAGCAAAAAGAGGTCGACCAACAAAAAAGTTTGATGAATCAAGTTCTCGCACCAAATGACGATTGATAGCAAACATTTTATTTGCTTTAAAAACGGAAGCCGCCGAAAAAATATTGTTAGTGGCTCAAAGAACAGCATTTAATAACCTAACTTTAATTTAGTCAAATTACTTAGATCCGAAAAAAAGATAGATAGAAAATTATATATTAGAGATAGAAAAAATTCATATTATATGGAATCAGATGAAATTAATGACTAAGATGAATTTACATTTAAATGTTGACATTGTTGACGAAAACATTTGGAGTAGGGGAGGGGGGAGAAAGCTAACTTTTTTGGGTATTTCTGATCCCGGGCTTTAATCATCGCAATTTTTTTGAAAAATAATTTTGACTTTGAAAAAAAAATTTTGACTTTAATTTTGAAAGAAAAAAAGAATGAAAGAAAAAGAAGAAAAAACAAAGAATAATGAAAAAAAGGTTTTCTGCCCCCAATAAAACCTTTAGTCTAAGTAGCATCACTCCTATGCACGATCTCCCTATTTAATCAGTCGATGTAACAAAAAAAGCCTCCGGCAGACTTCTATTTCAGACGCCAAGCTGGTTACAAAAATATTGAAAAATAGCATATACTGTTTTTCTTCCAGTTTCGATAAACGTAATTGAAGATCCATTTGTGGCATTGCTTATTTTGCTATATTATAATTTAACTGCCTTGAACTTAAGTTAAGCTCAACACGATAATTTGTTTAAATGCTTAACACGATACTCGATTTCCCGGTTTTTGATTTCCCTGACTTTTCGCTTTAAAAGCTTTCGGTTTTAACGTTCTTTCGCTTTTAAAGAACTATCACTTATAAATTTTAAAAGACATAATTAAAGATATATATTTATATACTTGACAACGAGGGTATCAATAATCCCTTGAAATATTGTATGAAAATTAATTTCAAATAAAGAGTTACATCCATAATAGAAGTTTTAATTTGATTATATCACTTATATACTTTTTGCTTAAAAACGTTCTTTCGTTCTTATCGCTTTAACGTTTACGCTTTTACACTATACGTTCTAACGTCCCACTACCGACGTAAAATAAATGTATGTTTTTTATATTTATATAGATACTATATAATATATAGTATACACATAAATGTGAAATGTATGCATATATTTTATGTCTATGTTACTATGTGTTTCCTATGTATGTATATATTTTGAATTTTAAAGCTGTTTGTTTGATAAAATTTTATCTTTAACAAAAATTATTTGAATTAATAGTGCTTTTTACCAAATGAAGTTTCACTCTTCATAATGAATTCAAGTCCTCATCAAACAACATTCAAGATTCTCGTTCTTGGCCAATCTAATGTTGGAAAGACTTCTATTGCTTATAGATTTACAGATGATAGTTTCAAAGAGTCTTACATCAGCACTATTGGTATTTTGGTTTTCTTTATGTATATGTTACTTGCATGTATGTGTATATATATATATATATATATTATATATATATATATATATATATATATATATATATATATATATATATATATATATATATATATATATATATATATATGTTAGCTTTTTAATGAAACAGAATTTGTTGAAATAAGCAGGTATTTTTATTGAATATTAAAGTAGACACATGGCAATTAATAATGGAAAAGAATATTAGATAAGTAACCACCACTTGCAGCTCTACAGGCCTCCAATCTTTTGTTAAAAATTTTTTTAACAAATGATGACATAATTGTGGTTCAATTTGAGTAATTTGCTCAATTGTGTTTTCTTTCAGATGTTGAATGGTTTGCGGTTTATTAGAGTAAACTTTGCTTTTCAAAAAACCCCTGTTGCTGTATGACATGTTGCACTATCTTGTTAAAACCACATATTCTGCACATCAATATGCTCTAATTCCTCAAACAAAAAGTTACTAATCATTGTTCAATAATGAGCATCATTCACAGTAACAGTGTGTCCAGTTTTATTTTCAAAGACATATGTACCAATAAATCCGTCAGACCAAAAACCATACAAACAGTTACTTTTTGTTGATGCAGTATTTTTTTCCAATATTACTCATGTATTTTCTTCACACCAAATTTGATAATTTTTTTTTAATTTATATACCCAACAATTTCAAAATTAGCTTCATCACTTACAAAAAATACAATTGCGCAAATTTAAAAAAGTTAATTCAAATTTGAACACCCTGTACATATAATATAATTCAAATTTGAACACCCTGTATATATGCAATATGGTTGGCAATTGTATGCTACTTAAAATTGGTAAATATATTGTATTACTATATTACTTATATTAAATATCACTTATATATATATATTTTGTTTATTGTTTATATTGATATATGGATACTAAACTAATTAATTTATTCTATCATATTTTACAACTTTTATTGTGAATTTCCTCTTCTCAAAATTATTCATCATTGGTGGCAAACAATCACACAATTTAATACCTTTGCAGAATTTACCGGACAAGTGGTGGACAATGTCTGATGTCCGGCACTTATTTCGAGCCCTATATATATATATATATATATATATATATATATATATATATATATATATATATATATATATATATATATATATATATATATATATATATATATATATATATATATATATATATATATATATATATATATATATATATATATATATATGTGTGTATATATATATATATATATATATATATATATATATATATATATGTATATATATATATATATATATATATATATGTGTGTATATATATATATATATATATATATATATATATATATATATATATATATATATATATATATATATATATATATATATATATATATATATATATATATATATATATATATATATATATATATCGATGGTTAAGAGCACAAAGGGAATATGTCTACTAACCATTGTTTTGAGAAATATGAATTTGAAAGTTTGGAAACACAACAATTCATGATGTTTATTTATTGTCATGATTTTGAACCAAATGCATTCCTCAATTAATTCTGTCTTGTTTTTTACTATTTTATTTTCATTTCTTTTACATACTTTAATACAATATCTGCGCAATAACTTAATACCGTAAAATGATAGACATATTCCCTTTGTGCTCTTAACCGTCGATATATATATATATATATATATATATATATATATATATATATATATATATATATATATATATATATATATATATATAGTATATATATATGTATATATATATGTATATATATATATATATATATATATATATATATATATATATATATATATATATATATATATATATATATATATATATATATATATATATATATTTATTAAGCCTTGTTAAGAAATGTTACTCTACTCTCATTTTACATGTGAAAAGGCGATTTGCAGTTTTATGTTTTGCTAAAACTTATAACTTTTGGAATATTTAAATTATCTTTTGATGTCTTTTGAAAAATATGTGATCCACTGTCGACCAGAGGACATTTTAGATTTGATGGAGTGTCACCTGGGATTTTTTCACTGATAAATTAATGTTAACATTATAGTAACATGGTTCAATCATAATAAAAATTAGTTTCACTTGCTAATACAGTAAAATTGTCAAATCAATTTTTACATAAAATATGCAAATGAGTAAGTAAAACTATTATGAGTTCCAAATTTTATGTAGAAGAACTTTTTAATTTGCTAGATAATCATTTAAATTAAATTTTAAATTTACATGAAAAAGTGACTGTTATAAATTTAGTAGACTAGACTACTAACTGAATGGTTTAATATAATAAAACATAAGAGCGGTTGCCCTTTAGTAAAAATTGTCTGGATAATACTCTTTGCCGAATAATATAATATTCAATAAATAAAAATACTAAATATATTATGTCTGGGAACAGTTTCTTACGTGATTCGGTTTGTGCAGTGCATTGGGTTGAAAAAAGTGCTAGATCTAAGTTGCTATCAGAAGTCACCACCTAAATACAAAATATGATCTATATATATGATGGTTATGATAAAAATATTATGGCTAATCCTAATGTCATATGTGGTAATAGTAAACAAAATTTATACTTTCTTAAGAGTGGCCATACTTCTAGAGGATCATGGGGAGTTCAAGTTGCTAAGGTAATTTATATACTAATACTTTATGCTTAAATCAATTTGCTTTATACTAATACTATAGTAAAGTATAAATAACAAAGGACCACCTATATAGAGTATTCACACAAAAATTTCAGCCTTTTAAATTAACATTAAAATAATATACATTTAAACATAAAGTCTTTGTGTTTAAATGTATAATACTTCAATGTTATGTAAAAAAGTTTAATTTTTTTATACATATAAAAGTATTATACATTTAAACATTATTATAGACAATAAGGATTGTCTTTTACTCCTGCTCATTAGTGGTAGTAAATACAACATATGATTATATAAAATAAATATTTAGATATATAATATAACTAAAACAAATTGTTACAAACAAATCTATTTGCATAATTATTTGTTAAGTTTTAGTTAGTTAATTTGTAATTTTATTAATTTGTAAGCTGAAATGCCTTAGATTGATTGGGCCAACAAAAGGCGATCTTCAGATCCATGTTTGGGTATTAGTGTTCCAATATTTACTGAACCAAAAGTGTCTGAAAACGTATGCAGCATTTGTTTTCTTGTTACTGGACCAGGCATTTCTCATCAGTGTACACAATACTCAGTATATGAATAAATATTTACTGTGAATTGCAAATAATTAATTATCTCAAGAAATATACAACTTTTTTTTATTCTGTAAAAAGTATTATTTATATAACACATAAGAACAGTAGAAAAGTATTATATTAAGTAATTTAAAAACTTTTTACTCGAATCATACCTTATTACTTTAGAGAAAAAAATGTTCCAAAAGTTTTTTTTTTTAATTTTGAACAGAACATTTTTTTAAGTATTACTCTCAATCTCTCAAGATATACAACTTATAAAACAACTGTTTTTTATTCTGTAAAAAGTATTATATAAATCTTCGACCATATAAACTGATAGACATGCCGTAAGTTAAATATTTTGAAGCCAGCATCTTTTAGCGTTAGAACGTTGAGAAACTTTGTAAGAAACTAAAGAACGCGATTTAAGCGAAATAAAGCTTTAAGAATAGAAAACTTTTTGTTAAATGTAAAATTTTGTAGTAAACCTTATTATTATTATTTTTTTTTTTTTAAATATTATTAAATTTATCATTTGTATCAAATATTATTTTAATGCATTTTTAGATTTCTTAGAATAGAAAACGTAACAGTTAATACAATTTTATGTATTTTATTATCCATTACATTAATATACAAAATAACTTTTTATTGATTCGAAAATTAAATTTGCTTTGTTAATATACTTTGTATATGTCTATTATATAGTAAATTGTTGATCAAGTCAGTTTTATGGTGCAATATTAACTTTAAATACTAAGCAATATTAGTTTTATAATTTCTTCACCACTTTCATAAATAAATTACAGACAACGCTTAACAATATTATGTATAAAAATATACATCAGGAAGTTTCCAACGTCCATTTACATAGTTTACCATAAAAACTAAAGTTTCTTTTGTTTTAGGTTAACTATCATTATTGATATCAGCACAAAAATCAATATAACCAGAAAATTTATGGCCTGTCTATTAAATTTTTTTTTCAAATGGCCATTTTATCTAACATAAATGAACACACAATATGTTGACCAATTTTCTGAGCCTCTTTTACTTTGCTATGAAGAGTAACTAAAGCTTCTTTACAAAATCCAGGAAACAGTCAACACTTTTATACCATTTTGTATAATTCCAGGATGAAGAAGTGCATTACTAAATGTTTTCCTAACATAGCTATATGCTTTAGCATAATAAAAATTTAATGTTAAAGCAAGGTTGTTAACAAGGCTAAAAGTAGCAAGGACATGGCTAAAGCCACATGTTAAAAGGCTAAAACCAAGACCAATGCCAAAAGTTACAAGATCAAGGCCAGGAATTTTAAAGTCAAGGCCAAGAATAAGAGTTTCAAGGCCAAGGCCTAAAACCAAAGATCTGAATTTTTGTCTAACGTTAAGGTCGATTATTAATAAAACTGCAGGCAACAATTGCTGTGACAATAAACCACATGTTGTCAAAATAAACCAGGGTTATGCCCAAAATTCTATGAAGTCAATAAAAAATATACTTGTAGATATGTATAAAGCCGAAACAAAAAATACATAAAAACAAAGAATGAAATCTTTTAACTGTTCAATTTTATGTACTTTTTTTGAAGACCAAGGCCAAGACCAAGACCAACAGTTTTAAGACCAAGGCCTTAAGTCAAGGTCAAGGCCAAGGTCTAGGACTAACAACCCTGTGTTGTAGCAAAGCTTCATAATTCTGGTAGGTAA